AATATTTATAAAATAATTAAACCTCAACCCAAGTATTTATTTATAGATTATCTATCATAAATAGAGTAAAAGCCACAGTGTACAGTCGTTAGCATGAACAATTCTGAAGCACATACTTCAGAAAACTTGCTCACACTATCCCAACCTGTTACTTTCCCCTCTGGATTTAAATCTACTACAGCAGCTAGTGTAGGTGTGGGAATGAACCTGAAGATGGGTAAAAGGAATTTGCCAACTTATTTTGCAATTATTATTTCTACATTATTGTGACCAAAGGACTGATAATAGAACTAATACCAACTAGACAGAGAAAAAACAGTGTAGGATTATTATTGTGTACTGCACCTCTGTCTGCGCTCAGGCGAGCTGGTGGAAAAGTTACAAACATGTGGCAAGTCACATTGGAGTTGCTGAAGGCCTGGCTTGTCACAGATGCAGCTGCACTGTGGCAGCCTGGTCAAGCAAAATTAGCTGACGTTGATGGCTGGTAAAATCGGCAAGAGGAGAAGCCGAGATGAGGGCTTCCACAGGGACAGTATGCCTTCAGAAATGGCTTTAAGAGGAATGTGGTTCTCAAGAGCAGTCCGTCAATAGGTCGTGCAAAGTGTGGGGAAAATTTTCTCAGTCATTTGCTTCCACCCTCACCTCCCTCCCCACCCCGTTTTTATCATAAACCTCAAGAAATCTAAGTTTATAGTTCAAAAGAATCTCAAGGAGTCTTGAAGGATGGAAGAGAGGGGGGAGTCTCCCCATGCAAGACCTTATAACCCTGCGGGAAGGAAGTAGGGTTATAGGGCATTTGTATCATTCACTATGTAGGAGCCTCAGGAATTACTGCCCTCCCTGGGAGGGATGCCTCTCCTACTCTCCATTAGCAGGATCAGCCTCTTGTGCTGTGACCTGGGTCATCAGTAATGTCACACTCAGTAACTTCTCTCTTGCATTTCATGACCGCAGGTCCAGGAGATGAAGACCCCAACCCTAAACATCCCAAAACACCAGACAAATGTGACCCAGCCTTATCCCTTGATGCCATTACCAGTCTCCGAGGAGAAACCATGATCTTTAAAGACAGGTACACTTGAGATTCTATCATAAAATCATATGAGACAAACATTTATGAAGCCATGTCTGCATATTGCCAAAACATCTGGTCCAACTTGCAAAGGTGAAAGTTAACAGTAAAAAATAACAGAACTTTGGGCAGGCAGTTCTTTTACATATTTCAGATCAAATAAATGACTGCTGGGTAAATGTTTTACTTTCTGGTGGATAATCTTGACATTGTGTAGCTTCTTTTTACATCTTTGATTGTAGTCTTTCTTATAAAGACAACCAAGTATGTCTAAAAATTCAACTTATTTTAAAAACAGACAAGTATTAAAAATAATTGCTGTGTTAATAAACTGTTACTTATAATGTCCAGGTGAATTCATTTTGGTATGGAAAGACTTTAGTTCTGGATACATAGACTGGGATCTGAGAGAGGGACTGAAATGAACCTAAAAATGCAATATTAATTTTTAAATTGTTCTAGTATGCTTATTTTTTCTTTCATTCATTCATTCATTCATTGCTTCCTCATCTGATTCAATAGCATTCCCACTCTTTCTATTATAATTTTAATTACGTTGTGCTCTGGGTATTTTCTCATGAATCAGTTTCCCCAGGCCATGATCATGAAAGACATAGTTTGTGTAATTTGTGTTTTCTTTCTAGAGCCCAACACAATGCCTGGCACATTTGCTTGCCTCTGGAAAGATATGCAAAATTGAGCAAGGCATGGTCTCAACCTGCAAAGGATTTAGAGTCCTTACAAAGGCTCTGTGACATTTCAAACTTAAATACCTTAGGACAGAGTTAGGAAAGCCCCAATTTGTCACCGGCACTTAAAGGGAAATGGATTTTTTTCCCTTTCCAGGTGCAAGGGAATGGTTGTGTCTGACTTATCTGTACTAATGTGGAGAGATGTGGCTGGCAGGATAGAAATAGTGTACTTAAAAAAATGTGACAGAAAACTGTATTTCTACTTTCATGTTAGATTCTTTTGGCGCCTGCATCCTCAGCAGGTTGACGCGGAGCTGTTTTTAACAAAATCGTTTTGGCCAGAACTTCCGAACCGCGTTGACGCTGCGTATGAGCATGCTTCTCGTGACCTTGTCTTCGTCTTTAGAGGTAAGCCTTCCACAGGGCCTCCCCATGACCATGGCAGGCAGTGGCGAGCTTGGCACTACCAGAGGCTCAGTGAAATGATAACTGCTGAAAATACGCCTAAGCTAAAAACCGAGTCCAACCAATGGAAACCAGAAAGCACCTGAGCCACTCTACCAAATGGCTCCAGATTTGACATTTAAAAGTTCCACATTATTACTTATTATATTCACTCTTTCTTCCCTATCAATCATATTAGTTTTTTTCTCTTAGTTCCTCTTAAAAATTATTTATTGAGAAAACATTGTAACAATATACATTTTGAAAAAGTGAAAAAAATATTATCCAAAATTCTCTTCTGAAAAGTCAGTTTATTTCGTTTCCTCACTTTTTTCTAGTTCTTCATC